TGCTGCGGCAGCCCCCGAGCTAGGGCCTGGAAGGAGGGGGGAGTCTCTCCCTGGCAGCGGCATCCCTGGAGCTGGGGAAAATCGCTTCTTTCTCTCACCGCCACAGCTCTGCATGTCCCAAATTCCCCCCACCCCCTCTTCTCACCCCACTGCCCCTCCCACCTGCCCCCTATTCCCCCCCAAGGCCACCACCTCACCTTACATGTGTGTCTTCTCCAGGGTCCAGGCACCTAATTAGTGGAGCCACACCTGTGCAGCTCCACTAATTAGGTTGGTGGCCCTTCATTCTCTCATGTGCGGCCGCCCAGGTGTGCACCTTAGAGAGAACTATCCGCGGACCACCTGAATGGAGCAGTGGTCCGCGGACCACAGTTGGAGAACCTCTGCTTTAGCGCATCTGGCACGTAAATATCTTGTAACGCCAGCTACAACAGTGCCATGCGAATGCCTGCTCTCACTTTCAGGTGACATTGTAAACAAGAAGCAGGCAGCATTATCTCCTGCAAATTGTAACCAACCTTATTTGTCTGAGTGATTGGCTGACCAAGAAGTAGGACTGAGTGGACTTGTAGGCTCTAAAGTTTTACATTGTTTTATTTTTGAATGCAGTTTTTTTTGTACATAATTCTACATTTGTAAGCTCAACTTTCATGATAAAGAGATTGCACTACGGTACTTGTATGAGGTGAATTGAAAATTACAAATTATTTTTTTACAGTGCAAATATTTGTAATAAAAAATAAATATAAAGTGAGCACTGTACACTTTGTATTCTGTGTTGTAATTGAAATTAATATATTTGAAAATGTAGAAAACATCCAAAAATATTTAAAATAAATGGTATTCTATTGTCGGTCAACAGCGCAATTAATTATTTATTTAAAATAGTAATGATAGTCATGATGTGTAATGGAAGTAATACAGCACCTTCTGCCACGAAGCAGTTGTCTTTACAAAGTCTATCTAACTTCCAGCTGTTTCCAACAATTCAACTACTGGCAGAAACAGCAGTCTTGGCACAGGTTTGCTTTCGACAATTTGGGTCTGGTCAGCTTTGCCTAGTTTTTCCTCTAGAAGCAAACAGCTGGAATAACATGCAGAGCTTGTTAAGACTCCAGAACACCCCCTTGCCAAACAATACCTACTGCGGTGTGTAGCAACAGCTTAAAAACAAACTCTATGCAGGAGTGTGGGATTGCTACTTTCTTCATCACCAGCATTTTATAACGTCTGCATACAACTCTTCCCCCCTCTGCCCTGGAGGAGGGAGCAGCAGCAGCAGCAGAATGAAACTGAAGCAATCCTATTCAGTTTTACTCACTCCCTACCCTAACCTTGTCAAAGAAAAGGGGCGTGTGTATGGTGAAACTGCCTAATTTCTCCCTCAATTTGAATTTGCAAGTGTGGGAGAGATTCTCTTCCTATCTCCAGGAAGAGTAAAAAAAAAATAATAAAAAAAAAGCATTGATATGTTCACCTCATCTCCACTGTAATTGCTAGAATAAGGGAGAGGCTGGGAAATTATAAGCAATTCCAAGGATGAATAGGATGGAGAAAACTCGCATATCCTTCCAGTCAAGGCAGTGTGACCGAATTGCTGATGTAGGAAGTAGCATGAGCAATGAGCCCATTTGGAGGGGAGGGAAGAGAAGCTAGAACATTAGTTCTTTTGGGGAGTGCGGGAGATATTTTTGCCCAAGTTTAGTAAGGTTATAATTTAAACTGTAACTGTCTAACATTATGTTCACGTGTCAGTATTGCACGGTTTGCAGGAAGGAGTTCACACCTTTGCTGCCATTGTTTAGATGGAGAGAGTTTTCTCCAAGACTGGGTTAACTGGGCAGCAGCACACAGAAGTTTACACTGTAATTGTTCTATCTCCACAATGGAAAAAGAGACATTAAAAAAAAAAAAAAAGTCCTGTGAAAAATAGCAAAAACTATAGACACATCTCACAGGAGATGAAGTAGGAATAGGCTATGGTTATTTCATGCCTGTATTTTCTTCTTCCATGCACTCTGGAATATGTAGTTTCAAACTAGTCTGTATTTAGGTGCATTGACTCACACAGAAAATAGGATGTCAGTAGGAAATTTAAATGTTACCTGCCTCTTTCCCCAAATCATTGCAGCTTCTTGTGTCCACCTGGACTTGGGTAGACTTATAACCCCTTGTTTCTGTTCCTTACAAGCGTTGCATTCATCTTTTCTGTTCTCTTGTAGAATGAGCCTCTGACCTCAGGTTATCATGGATACCCTGCGAGGGACAATCAAGTAAGAGTCGGATTACAGTAAAGTGTGTGCGTGTGTGTGTGTTCTGGCAGATGGCTTCCTAACACTGTTTGTTTGTTTTGGCGACTGTTTTATTTCACTGGTTGAATGCTTACAGAGGTATACAGTAAATTAAACACATTTTTTGGCCATGCCACGTATGGAATGTGGCTGCATGCATGATGAGGGGTTGAATGTGATCCCTCTGATTCTCATTAAAGAATTTCCTGACCCTTGGCTATTCGTAAAACCGGACTTCAGATCTAAATCCAAAATACCCACTCTGTCTCCTCAGTTTTACTCAGTGTAGATGTTCAGTCTGTGAACTCTTCGCTCTGTTTTGTTCTTATTGCTGTAACTCTAGCAGCTGAGGAGAGATGAAACACAATTTTTGTCTGAGAGGTATCATCCCTTGCAGGGCTGCTGGAGCAGAGAACAATGTGGCCCAGGATGGGTTGCTTCTAGCTCTTATGAATTTGCCTTGGTGCTCTTTGAGTCCTGCAGGGCCCATGCCCCATCCATCAATTGAGGATATTTTAATTTTAAAGTAGTAAAGATGATATGGTTTGATCTATTGCAGCCATCGCAACATCCCCTTCCCACTCCAGGGAAGGTAGGAGACGCCAGCTGCTGATGAGTCTGTGTAGAGCAGGGGAGGAGAGGGCCATCATAAATTATCTTTCTACCTTTCCATTGTAAGGATATTTGTCACCCTTTGCCTGTTGCAGCTTGCAAGTCAACATTGTCCAGGAAGAAGTCCTGAAGTTTGTCTGAAACCTTTATTCTAACTCTGGAATTGAATTTTATGGAGATTTTTAAGGGACCTAAGTGAGGAGTATGGGCACATGCACAGTAGAAGTGCAGCTATGTTTGTATCCAGTGTCACATGCTCTGGTTTTCTTTCAACAAACACCGTTGTGTTGCACTAACCCCCCCCCCCCAACAAACAGAAAATCTCCCTAACCCTGTTGTAGGGGCACCACATTCATGTGTTAGCTGAGTTTGTATCCATGCTTGCCATGATGCTGAACTGTTTGTATCTGTGCATTCCCGGGGAATTTGGAAAATTATTCCATAGTGATTCCATGGGGGTGAGGGGATTGGGTTGAGTGACCAGAGCAAGGGCATATAGAGTGGCACAACAGAGCCTGTGGTGCAGCATAGTCTGTGATCTCCTACTGCACAAAGTGCTGAAAAAAACAGGTGGACCAGCCATACCAGTTAGGGGATTCCCAGCTATACTGCAAAAAGAAAAGCCTTGTCTGTGCTACAGTATTTTGGCATTGCAGCCCCCTGTATGCCTTATTTGAACTATCAAGACCCTGGCTGAGAGCAAGTACAATTACAAGCCTTGCCACCATTGAATCCTACACTGGGTTTCTCTACATTATTGTAGAGACATAGACCGAAAATATCAGTGTTATAGCTACAATGGCTGAGTTAGTTCTGCCAGTGCTGTGTTACAATGCTCTTGGCCCCACCATTTAGTATTAGATTTGACAGTTCAGAATACTGGCTCTGTCCTCTATCATGCAACTCTTCTTTTGGCTGCATGTGGGGCTGAGAACACTTGCATTGGTACTCATCCGCTCTCAGCTATGCTCCATCCTGTCTTCCAACTCCTGCCATTCAAGGCCACCCTGAGAGCACCTGGGACGCTATATGAACAGTCTTGAATGTTCTCCCTCACTCTGCACCCTGGGACAGCAATGGGAGAGACAAAAATAAAATACAAACTACAGCTTTTGTAACCTGAACATGTTTAAACCTTGTGATGATTTGCCTGAAAAACAGAGGACCAAAATCAATTGCTGTTCAGCAGCCAATCTAGGCATGCATATGCCCTATTGTATACACTTTCCTGATGGGTGCCCTGGCAATCAAATCCATCTCTTAACTGCATTATTATTTTATTTACAAGACAGTAGCTCCCAGATGCCCCAGTCAAGATGGAGATCCAATGTGCTAGGCACTGTACCAATGTAGGATAAATGCCTCTGCTCAAACATGCAGAGGTCAAGGTGTGACAGTGGGTATAGAACACAAGGGGGGGGGGCGGGAAGGGAGAAGACAAGGGTAATAGTAATGGAAACGCAACATTGAATATATTAGCGAAATGTAGTAGGTTTCATGGTGGCTGGTTTTTTTTTAAGGCGAGTGACACACCAACAAAACAAGAACAGACAATCAATCATGCAACAAATTAAAATGAGTTATTGAATAAATAATCAGACTCAAATCAAAGAACTTCCTCAAGAATTGTCACCCAAAGGAGGATAGTGTTCATCGTAGCTTGGGCCCAGAGTAAGTCTGGCAGCAGCTTGGGAGAGAGGTTGGTGAGACTATGCCATGAGGTTGGCAACTGTGAAACTAATCCTTGGCCCTCATGAGGCATATGCAAATCCCCATTGTGCAGGACAGAATTATTCAAAGGATCCATTGGGACAAACAAAAAATGTGAACCAGGTGCAAATACGGTATACCCTGTGAGGCCATAGACACTATGCACAGGCTGAAATTGTGAATAAACAGCATCACTTAATCATAGGCCCTGCTATGGCCGCTGTACCCTGACAGATCATGGGGACACTGCAGCGTGCTGGCAACTCTACGTAGCACAATCGTGGCCCCTCCATGAAGGTGAGCACAGGTATCAATATATTAGCCAGTGTGTATAGGCATTTCAGATGGCAAGTTACTTCGTGGAGGTTTCCTGGCAGGCCAAGCAAGCTCAATTTTTAGCCGTCATGTTTTCACTTTAGAAAATCTCTCTGTAAAATGATTTTCCTTCCATATTTGCTCTTTGTTATTTCTTGATCTGTTAGGGTTTTTTCTTAGTCTCACTTTTGGCTCTGAGGCAGATGAAATTCAGACCTGGCTTTCACTAATGGGATTTCAAGCTTTTAGCTAATCTGATTGGGAACCTCTAATCTGATAGCAGCAGAGAGCAAAGTCCTCTGTAGCCACAGGCTGGGTCTGGTGTTGTAGAGATGGCGGTGTGCAATCTATCACCTGGTTCTTTGCAGTGCAGGGTGAGGGAGGTTATGTTTAGTAATTCAGGCTCCATGCTAAAGTAATTATGAGATGCAGAAACAGCAATTTGGTCTGTTGAATGAGATTTCTCCCCGCACTCCGACTGAGAGCTGGATTTGAACTGGTGATTTAGGCGCGGAGCCACAGAGGGATTTAGGTATTGCAATGCTGAACTTTTACTTCAAAAACTTAGGTGCAAAAGAGTTTAGGTGCCTGCAGAGTTCACAAAAACAATGAGGAGTCTGGTGGCACCTTAAAGACTAACAGATATGTTTGGGCATAAACTTTCGTGATACAGGGTTCCGCAGCAGCCAGGCAGGAGTTTTGTAGATCGTAGTGGAGCATAAGTCTGGGAGTTAGGTGCCTAAATACCTTTATGTATCCGGGCCTTAGTGTTTAAAAGCTGCATAGCTAACTCTCTTCTGACATGTCACATTTATTTCTCTCTAAGAGCTGTGCTGTTTTCTTACCAAGTCATTTTTTTTTTTAGCAGAAATGGCAAAACTGAATTTTATTTTCTGGATAAAAGTGCTCAGGGATAACTCAACCTTTCTTCCATTGCTTCCTGTATGCCTTTTTCACTCCTTTGAATTGTAAGTGCCATTAATTGACGTCTGCAAACCTTTCACTGTGTTGTCTTTACACCATCTAGTGGATAAACCTTATCCATACATTCTTGACTGTTTCAGTTTTGTCCCCTTTCCTTCTTCCTCTCTTCCAGGTAACTGTTCAAGGCCTCACTGGGTATGTGTACGCTGCAATGTAAGCCCAGGGTTAGTGGGATTCGAGTCAGCTGACCTGTGTCTGGGAACCCTGGGCTTGAGCATCTACATTGTATTTTTAACCCTAGGTTAAGAATTTTCTGACCATTATGTTTGAACCCAGGGTTCTGGCATCCACTCTGTAGTGTGCAGACCTGAATCAAAGTAACTATATCCCAGAGTCCCTAGTGACTCCCCTTCCCCAAAATGTGGCCTTAGAAATGCGGTGGACTGTGGGAAAACTTTACTGCCCCCCCACTCCTCCCCGCATGTTACCAGGAAGCCGCTCACTTTAGAAAAGGCTTGATCGGTTCGCTCTCCATTGCCCAGGAGTGTGTTTGCAGATCGGTGATCAGACCAGAATGGGTTAACGCTGACCTAAGCCACTGCCATTTGCCAAGGTGTGTGTGGGAGGCGATTCTGTTTTCAACAGGGTGGATTGCAGGTTGTTGGGATAGAGAGGATTAAGGAGGTTTTCCTATGGAATTGTGGATTACTTCCGGCTGACTCCCAGCACGTGAGTCAAGCGGACCTGCAGCTACACTGCAAAGCAATAGGGCTTGGATCCTGGGTCCTGGTTTGACTTGAGCTCGGACCCTGGATCTGAGCCCTGGATTAGCGCAATTGCAGTGTAGACGCAAGGGGGGCTAGCCAGGCTCAAGCATGGGCGTACATTGCAGTGTAGACATACTCACTGATGCAATGTGAGAGTACTCAGGTCTACGGTACAGAGTGTATCCTAATTCCTCTCCAAGTATTTAACTCTTTTACTTGTCATCAGATGCAGCACTGAATAAATTAGAATAGGGATTCCTACGGAGGCCATATTTGTCACAATCTCAGTAATACCAGCCAAGTATATTACAGTCTGGCTTATGATGGCTAAATCTCTGGGCTGCTCCAGTGGTCTCCCTGTGCTTTGCTTCATTGTAGTCCTGCTGGCCTTTCCTGCCAGAGCAGTCACCTATGCTTGATACAATGGGAGCAACAGGAGTAGGTGAGTGTGTGTGGCCGATCCACCAGGGCACAGGACTGGACAGAGCTTTATTTGTTTGAAGGGAAAAAGGAAAAGCTTCTGTTGCAGCATACAGTACTACATTAGGGGCTGTGTTTGAGCTGTTGCTGTGAGGATGGGGAGCATGGTGGGCAGGGCTGTGAGGTTTCCTAGGAATTGTAGGTTTGTTCTTTGGGTGACTGGTGCAGTCGCCG